ATACTCTAAAATTGTTTGATTTACTTTCCGAAAGCATTAATTTAATTCGATTTGCACTTGTTAATTTTCTCCTCAAGCTTTAAGAGAATTTCTTAGTTAAATACCATCAAATTTAAACGCCTTCTTATTTTCATGAGATTCATATCGCCAAGTGTTCCGATTTCACAGTCGTAACACCAGATGAGCCAAAATATTTGGAAGTGCGCGGCTAATCATTACCATACGAATTAAATGCGGGTAGAAATACGCGGAGCGGTTCTCTCCCCGACGAGGCAACGTCATTTCATTTTCACGGCAAACGAAGCCGAGGAAGAATTCTCCCAATTCTCTAAGCCTCCGCCCTAAGCCCTCAATTTCACTAGAGTAAAAGCTCAATGGAAAGCGTGATAAAATGGCTTCTTATTCCCGCGTTTATATTCAATCTCGATGCCGACGCCGCAGGCACAAAGGGCTCCATTTGAAACACGTTAGTCGATGCCGTATACTCTGGATAGACAGATACATACATACACACGCATCACATATACATACATATAATGGGAGAAGAGAGAATCGCGGTGATGCATTATGTAGTACCTCGCTGATCCTTATATGCATCTATGCATGGGTTCCGCGACGCACCAACTTTATAGGCGTGCTGTATCAAGACACTTACCAGTAGTGCGAACCGTTAACGTAACCGCAGACATATTCTGACAATATATTTTCAATGCGCCTGGAAAAAGTCTTTTTGGCAATCGGAATTTATTTTTTTCTCTCATCTTTGTATCAATCGCAAAAATGTTAGCAGACATATATTTTCAAAGACACAAGATGTATTTTTATAATTATTAATTATTTCTTTAATTATTAATTATTTTAATTATTGTAAAAAATCTTATAATTCTCTTGGAGTTTCTGAAAGAAAGTATTTTTGTATTCTTTTCCTAACTCTCCCTTATCTTAAATTATTATTGTATCGTAGTTTTAATTTGCCTAATATTTATTTAAATAATTTTAACATAATATATTGGGAAAAAGAAACCATTATTTTTACAAATGGAGCTTTTTGTATTCATTTAATCATTTGATGTATCGAATCGCTCGAGTCTCGTTTGAAAGAAAATGCGAGGACAGCTCGATTCAATCCAGTGGCAGTGTGCATACGTAAGTACAACGTTTCGCACTCTGTCTGATTGCTACGCGTGAAGACAATCGGTTCTGCCAAATGGACCGATCGACGTCTCCAGATGTCATAGCAATTATAATAGAATCAACAATTTGCCAGAGTAGCAATTTGCCTAGTTAATCATAAAACAAACTTTTTCTTTAAACAATAATTATATTCTATTACTCTTTCATTTACATTCGTTGATTTTATTATATGTTTTTCACATATCGCGTGACGCGAAACATTTACATATTGTATTTGAAAAATCTATGTGTATGTGTGAAATTTTATTGATATAAAAAAAGATATTTTTTATTGTATTTTTACATTATATGTATAATACATTTCTGACTTGTATTTTTTTTAAAAATAGATAATCAAATCAGCATATGAATTAGTAGAATGTATTTATATTAATATATAATTAATATAACATATGATAAATTATATATATTTAAATTAAGGCTGATTTAAGAGAGAAGAACTCTCAATTATCAAAAGATATTTACAATCAGATAAAAAAATAAATTTTTCAAATCGTCAACGAATCAAACAATGATTTTATAAAGAAAATCATCAAAATTACTCATTAAAATATAGAACACATTATTTTCTCGCTAATGAGTTTCTCGATACTAGAACGAGCTAGACAAAGCAACTTTGAAAGTAAGTTGAGAACGGTTCGCTTGATTCGATGCCAACATCGGGTCGCGTACCGGCAATAAATAACACGGTACCTGAAATCTACTCTTTATGATATATGCGAGATATAGTTATAGCAATAGTTTGCATAAAGGACCGCGGCAAGTATGGAGAAACGGAAGAAAGTAACCTCGCGCAAAAATTAAAATTGAACACTTTATGTCGTCAACATTAAAATATAACATCGACATCAAAAACGAGAAAAAAAAATTAATTATAAAGACAAATTATTGAAACGATTCTCTTCGATAATTAAAAACAAAAACAAAACTGCTTAATATATTAAAATCGATATAAAAGAATTAATATTAAAGGCGTCACATGTCATAAATTTTTTTTCAGCATCAATATCATTCTGGTTACATTACTGACCTTGGCTACATGAGTCGACAAGATAATAACGACAAAGGTGCGACGTTTGCGCGAATCCATTAAATGCGTTAGTTACGCCAATGCGTAAAAGCGGCGATAAGGTTGTAGCGATGTTAGCGCAGATACGCCCGGTATCTTTATTACCCTTCGCGAGACACCTTGCTCAAGTTAATGTTAATTGCCATTTTATCTTACTCAGACGCCTGATATTTTGACCGCGTGATCCTCGCAAACTTTATGGTGCGCAAATGAGAGACAGCAAGAGAGAAAACGCTCGTATACAATAATCGAGATGTATCTTGAAATGTTAATCTTGGAGAATAATGTAAAAATAATTATAGAAGAAACATGTCAAAATTAATCGTATAAAAAGTGCCAGATACTCTTACCTTAAAAGTGTCCTTTCGTTGCTGCGTTTCTGCTTCATCTTTCATCGTGATCCGAATCGAATTGCACGAATGTTGACAGAGAAAGAAAACTCGATCTCGCTCTATTAGTAGGAGTATAAAGAGAAACAAGGAAGGATTACGGTGACGTAGCGATCTGTAATATTTGTTTACTCGAGCTCGCGCGCCATATATGTACATACGCACGTCGTATGGTGTCTGAGAGCAGAAAAAGAGATCGTCGCCCTTGGGAGAACGAGTGTGCCGTAAGTAAAAACAACGTATTCACGAGGCTGTATCGGATTTTATTCCGTAGGTAAATCCTCGAATCTCGGCGGACCCGTGTCTCTGTCTTTGCATCTCAGTCTTTCGCTCCCTCGCGATTCGTCCCGCGTGATGGTCCTTAACCCTCTTACCCCTCCTTCCTCTCCTCCTTCTCTTCTTTCGTGTCGTCCGCGCGCGCTTTCACTTCGCGGAAAGAAGTTTCGGGAGTTACGGTGACTACTCGTAAGCCGACGAAGACGATGACAGCCCCGGTGCGTCTTTCTACCGACGAAGGTCATTTCGTCGGAGAAACATGGATGCCAGGGTTGCGGCCCACCCTAGCCTACTTCGTTTCATCTCTTTCCATCTCCTCCTCCGACCATTCCAGCCTCTCGTTTTCCTGCCACGTCTCGCCGAAGCTCGTCCGTATTCAAATGTTCGGTCGGGGATGCACGGAGGCGGACGAGAACCGAATTACCTGCCCTGAATTGGAGAACGGCGAAGGGGTGGGGGAGAAAAATTCGTTGTTACGAAGCGAGGCGAGAAGAAAGTAGGACGTCTGGTGGAGAGATTCCCCTTTTCATTTCTTTTCGCGAAACATACTATCATGCGGCCCAGAATTTTATCCATTAAATATATAAAATGAATTGTGTCTTATAACTTCAATATAACATACGAGACAAAGCATTCCTTTTTTTAAACATATGAAAAGATAGAACGAATAGAAATTATACATTTTAATTGAGAAAAAATATTTTTCCCGCAAGTCTTATCAAGATTTTCTTCATGAATGTATTATTAAATGCGAAAAGAATAGAAATAAATTTTTCGGAATTCTTTTCTGGCTATGAATGATATAGCGATATTTTAAAGAAGTTTGTCACTCTCGGAGATTTTTGAGGAAAAAGCGTCGTATGGCGCGTACGAATGATAAGATTACGGAAAAAGATAAGTTGCGGAAAGATAAAACGTTCTTTGTACATTGGACTTACAATTAGTAGGAATTTAAAGCAGTACGATGAGATCTTGTTGAGATCTCGAAAAAAATAGCGATAACTTTGCATGCGCGGCTATAATTAAAACCGACAATAATAATTGAGACTTGATTTAACTTATCACGCGCAACATGAATCAATGTAATTATGATATAATTAACGCATTACTTTTCATACGCTATTATTTATCGGAATGTAATAAAATTGGCGTCGTTTTCTTAAAGCGCGACTGTTATATATACGCGTAATGGGGAACATACGGGCTGTGCAACATCTTATAACTGCTGCGCCATTAACGGCACCACGATCATTGTAATATACGTTTAGTTTAGTTTAGCTAGCGCACGAGGGTGGTTGCGAGCCACCGACCCCTTGCGTGCCAGCCGAGGGTGCATAATTTATCGCCGCGTCCCAACCACCGTAATGCAATACGTTACATGCTCGGCATGCATGTGGATTCCACATAGGTTATCGATGCTCCCTCAATGTCCGAGGGGCATAACTAACTATCTATAAATAGCGCGATCATGTATCGGCATTCATTGCCCGTTATCTCTCCCTATTTCGCTTTCTATTCGACAACATAACAACACGAAGAGCGACATAAAGGTATATCGAGACGTTACGGGATACATCGTTGCCGTAAATATAATTTTTCTCACGTCTGCGCATAACTCTTGGAATTTTATATTTAAATAAAAGGACCGAATTGAAAACCGATTGAAATAAAGAAATTGTAATCGGCCAAGTGACGCCGATAGGCAGGGAACAGTTCCGAGAGACACGTTGCTTTTTAGAATAGAATTGGTTTTTATTGTGACTAGATTACAAACGGGGCCTTTAACGGCGCTCAATATCGCCCAGTAGGAACGTTTACACGTAGTGAGTGAGGTGACAAACGGGAATGAAGAAACATTCTGCGTGACGTTACGGATCACCCACTGCAGGGACTGGGATATGTGATTACGACGAACATTTGTACGACATTGGGATTCATACAAAATAGCGGTCGTTTCTTACGCCTATCTTACGTGACTATGTCTCGATCTCTCTACGGCGATCGGCCACTCGCTATCGACCTCCGAGGTCGATCGATTCGTGTCCTGTCGTCGTCGTTTCACTCGGTCGAAATCTCCTCTCGATGCACTTTACACCACACATTCCCCCGTTATATATAATAATTTATACAATTATCCATGACGTCGACGCGCGGCATATAATCATTCTATACATACGCAATATATTTTTGGGTTTAACTTTGGTTTTGTTTTTTTTCTCGCAACAAGTGTGTCATCTATCAAATAATAAGCTACTTATAAAAATAGGATATTTTGTTGATTGATTACGTTAACGTCTCTCTAATTGCACAATCAAGGAATATACGTATATAAGTTAAATGCTGTCGCTAGAACGATAAGAGTACGAAGAGAAATCGACGGACTTGAAGAATTCAATTGCACGCGTCGCGCGAGGATACCGTGAATATTACTTTAATAATTATTTGACGATACTAATTCATATTTAAACGCCTAATCGATAGGATATTTCTTGTTGCATACACTGTACAATCCGTTCATAATTCGTTCGCTTACTTACAGCCTACAAGATTTTTGGTATTCTGTTTAAATAATCGTTATTATCCTCATTACAATGTAACAGTTTTTTTTTGGTATACAGTTACGCTCCGCGCATAAAGAGCCGGCATTCTACTATACATATATCTACAGAATAGTGAGTACCCGATCCGCGACGGATCTTTATTAGCGCCATTGTTCTTTGCTAGAAATTAACCCCCCAAATTTTCATGCCGTGTCGAGAAAAAAAGATTATTAAAGCATACTTCGTATACAATTAGCGCACTCGTGTCATGTAACTCGCGAGGAAACATACTTTATCTCCCAGCGAAATAATATTACACGTATATTTATTGCGACATATATACAGCATCGTTAATAATGAATATATAATATTTGCCGGATTAAAAATATTAGAAAGAAAATCGGGGGGGTTTTAAACATATTTTTCATCGCGGCGGAAGTTTAATATTTGTACTCCATCAACGTTTATTTGCCTTTGAAGAATGTATGCGAGTCCACTGAACCCGCCGAACTTGTAGTTTGCCGAATACGACGTAGTTGATTGCTCGCGTAATACCTTGTATTTGCATACAACGTAAGCAAATGTTCTCGACTGTAAGTTCTGTTAATCGTTGTCGCAGACACTGATTCCTTACCGTTTTTTTCATTCTCGTAATTTTCGTAAAGATTCTGATAACGAGAATTATCGGCAATTGATAACAAAAATATTTCTAATTCCATTACGAAACTTGCATTATTAGGCCGATTCCAACCGAGCATTGATTAATATTAAATATTGAAAGTGACTCTGCGCTTTTATAAATTTTATAAAGACACATGAAGAGAGACATGTAAGAAATTCTTCCAGTTTATATAATACACAATCAATTTTCGGCAGAGATGCGAACATTTTAGTAGATATACTAGGACTATAAGCAATATTTTTGCAACCGATTTCCGATAGAGATACAAAAATACGAACGATCTGCGAGTCGTATTTGTTTAGGCATCAAACGTTCGATATTTGACATAACGAAACAAGATTTCGCAAGAGGATCAAGGCAACACTAAAACGACAATTTGATAAAATTCTACTGGCCTCAATCATCGTCCCGCGGCAAGGACAGCGTCTGCGAACCGGATGCGATCGGCGGCGTCGTCCAACAATCAAACAACGACGGCCAGTAACTGGTGGCGGTGGTCGCGTGCTGCCAATAACCCGTCAATCCGGTACCACTTCCGGTGGCCGTGCCTGGTCCACCTACGCCGATACCAACTCCCACGCCGATGCCACCGGCTGTCACCACCTGTTCAGGATTTACCATACTGCTCGCATCGATTACACTTCGCTCGTCCACTTCCAGCTTCTGGTCCGCCGCGGTCCCGTCCTCGTCGTACATAAGGTAATGCGGATGCGAGGTCGTCGACGAAGGCGTCGACGACAGCGTCGGCGAGGCGGCGGACCTAGGCCTGGGTCACTCTTGCGATCTAAGTTGATTGTCGCTCGGCTGGCCGGAAACCGTGGACGCCGCGGCACCGGATGGCGGTACCACCTGATTGTTACCACCGCCACCGCCGCCGCCGCCACTGAGGGAACTTCCTGAATTTGGATTCGTTACGTTGTGATGATGGGGGCTAGAGGTAGCCCCCGCTTCGCCTCAGACTTGGGCCCTGGCGGTGGCATTGGCGTGCGCCTCGGGACCACCCGGAGAGTGAGGATTCGCCCCGGTGGCTGTCGTTAACGCGTACTGACAGGCGCTTAGGCTACCACCACCGCCCCCGCCGCCGCCTCCACCACCGACCGACGACGCTCTCGAGCTGACGGGACTTATGCTACCAGCCGTGGTACCACCGGTGATGCCGCCGCCACCGCCGTAACCGCTGCTGTGCTGTTTCGCTTTCATGCGCAGCGAGGCGATGCTGCTCGATGTCATCACGGTGCAGGAGTCGGGTGACCGATGGTGCGGCGTGTAAACCGGAGGTCCGTACGGATGATGCGGCGCGGCCGGCGCCGCGTATGGACACGCAGCACCGGAAGCGGCAACCGGCGAACTCGCGACGCCCAGACCGGAACTCATGCCCGGTAACATGGACGTGGCTGCTTGCCCGACCGACACTGACATACCGCCCACGTGGCTGCCCGCGACCGATGTCGCCGCGGAGTTGAAGGGATTCACCGGACTGACCTGCGCGTGATGATGATGATGCGACGCCGTAGGCACCACCGATCCTAGAGTATTCATCCAGGGAAAGCTCTTGCCACTTAGCGGCGACGGCACTTTGGCCGCCCAATTGTTGTATTGCCCAATTGTACTGTACGAACTGTAGAGGGTATCCGGATCCGGGAATGGTTGGGTGATGAAGCCGTTCATCACCCCCGTGCTAAAGCCAGATTTGAAATCCGCCGCGGCCTGCGCGGCTGCGTTCATCGCGTTACGCTCTTTCTTTCGCCATTTCGCTCGTCGATTCTTGAACCAGACCTAGAAGAATAAACGTAGCATTGTGAGATTTATTAATTATGATATGCGCGACATTATTTGAGAAATTTAACAGAGAAAGTCGGTCTGATAAGTCTCTATTTCAAACTTTAGAATGCATATATAGATAGTATTTTTTAAAAGACCCTGCGATTTATTTTATCATCAGATAAATATTATTTTTCGTTAACGTATATAGCTCGTACATCGAGCATGAACAATGGAGAAGAAGGAAAGGCGTAATAACCCGTAGAGTTTCTTGCCAGAGATTTCACGAGCGCTCGCACGCCACGGGTTATTAGTCACGAACGCAACGAAGAAAGCAACGGGCGGCGGTTCCGCTCCGTAGTAGACGGTAGGCGAGTCCCGAGACAAATAGCAAGAAAACCCCAGCGAACTCCTCCATCCTGAAATATGACGGCGTTAATTCAAGGCGGCCCTTCTCTTCCGCGCTCGATACTACGGCAAACTTCGTCAGCCGTTTCCACCCTTCCCATCCCTTCGTTCGTCCTTCAACCCCTCAAACCCACGCAGCCCTCTGACTATGTCGTCTCTCTTTCTCGCCGTTCGTCCCTGCTCGCCCCCAACAATTATACGGGTGGTTGCGCTCAGATACACGTCGCTCTCGCGTAACTGTAAGGCAAGGGGCGGGAAAATGCGACATACGAAGGGTCGTGGCGCAAGTATTCGATGAAGGAAGGGTCGGATAGCAAGCAGGAAAGACGGTAGGAAGGAAGGAAGGAACGAAGGATGGTACTGAGGATGAAGCAATGCTGAAGGAGGTCGGGAGAATACTCCGTAAGATGGATGGCCCTACGATCACGCCGTGGAAACGCTAAGAGGCGCGACGCCGGGTCATTGAAAGTGGGGGCGAAAGACTAGCTAATGAAGAATAATGTCCTTTCCTCTCGACGATTATTCCCGTAACGTCGCGTAACATCCCGAATTTGTTAGTAGTCTCGATTGTGTAACTGGACGGAATAATTTTACGAAATGTGGGAAGAGATGCGTTCAAAAATTCATTGAGATTTTAGTGAGAATTTTCGTTCGCTCACTCTTGTTTATTTTAATTTTTACATTACTTTGTGTAATTAAAAAGCAGTATTATTCTTATGATAATATTTTTATCACAATGTCGTATTTCTCTCTGTGCCACTTAGTTGTTGCAAGATATATATAAATTTATTATTATATCACTTTTATACCGTGAAATCTTTATTTTTGATCTGAACTCGCGTGAAAGGTTTACGTATAGGCGTGTATCTTTTTTTCTCGCGATAAGCCGCACGAGGAACATCATTGAATTTTACGAAGCGGCCCCGGTAGTCGCGAGACGCCATGGGCGACGACGGTAAGCCAGGAGGGAGTAAACTCGATAGGACAGAATGGTACGGCGGGCGAAAGATGCCGCGACTCGAGAATCAATAAACTCTCTCGCGCAAAGGCGCACCCGTGTACACACAAGAGAGAGGTGCCGCGCCCATAAAGTTTAACAGCGCCGCGGAATCTCGACTAACACCGTGTGGAACCGTCAGGAGAATCGTAATGCCTCTGATTCATAAGGTCGTAAATTTGACGAATGTATGCTCGAATTCTGGAGACTATCGTTTGACCGACTGGATTCCAGCTATTGACCGAATGATCTTTCCGAATCGTGAGAGAAATCGCGTCCACGACGTAAATACATCAATCGACGCGTTATATTCCGGCAATAAATTGCGGTATAATTAATCAACATAATATATCTCATTAATAACTTCAATCCAATTTTATGAATATCCCTACAGTAAATTGACGCAACGAGCTATGATATATAAAATCTATTTATGTTTTCTCGTCTATGCGTTTGTAATTGTAAAATTTTTATTAATATGCTAGAAAGTGACGTGATTATAAAATAAATCTATCTGTCGTAGGAATCTACGTTATTTTTGACGATTAATCGAAATCATGGTAGCAGCGCATTCGACCGATTTCTCGACGGCGTTGAAAAATGTCAAAGCATAGTCCGGTATAGAGACACGATAAATCGAATCTACTGTTTCCCGCCTGGCAACCGGCTCGGAGAACAATGGCCCCGTCACGTCATTCGGGCAATAAAACCTCATCAAATCACGACCCCTCGCCACCGTGTAAGCCTCCAGCTCGCTCCCGTTCGCGTGCGCGCGCGCGCTCGGCTCAATCTACGAAAGCTTATATAAATGTAATGAGACCGTAACGGGGGGTGCCTCATCAATCACACCCCCTACGGCCCCCTCCTGTCCCGTTCCATTGGCGGCGTCGCTCTTCTCTACGGTCGTCTTCTGCGCCGCACATACGTCTACGTGCTACATAGACACCCTTGAACACCGGTACCGGCCCGTTCACAGTAATCCCGTGACTTAACATCGGGCTCCGGGTTCTCCGAGTAACCGCGATTTGTTCCATTGCGCTCAGAAGTTGCGCGCCACGCCGCACCGTTAGTTCCTCGGTCAAGAGAGAGTCTTATAGTCGGAGCCTTATTTGGAGCCCAGCTCTCAAGTAAGGCCTATTTAAACGGAACGACTTTCGAAGGATATCCTATCGAATCGGAACATTTTATGGTGTTTTTATATATACTTGGTTCATGTTGTTCACGCTATTTATAATTATATTAGCGAAACGAAATTAAGGTTGAACAATGTCTATTATTTTATTAAAATCCGCTATTTATGCACCAATAATCATTAATTGATTTTAAACGCCAATTTGTAACGTCTAATAATAGCTTATAGCTTTAAAAAATGAGATGCATTTCATTAACACATTTCACACTCTATAACACACTATTTACTGCATATTGACTATAACTTGAAAATTTATTTAAATATATAAAGTCTTGAGTTATATATACATATATCAGTTACTGAGTTATCAAACTAATAACTTTTTCTTCTTATTATTCATGTATTCAACTTATTATTCATGTTTTAAGAAATAGTATAGATATGTATGTATACGGGTAGGTTTTGAAAGTTAAAAATTATTCTTGTGGTTATAAAACTTTTTCGTCGTAAGAATTATAACGTTTATGATAAGATTAGTGTAATCTCAGAACTCCGAAACGAAATATTATAATTACATTATTTATTATCTTTTTACATTACACATTGCTTTTCAACAGTATTAAATTTTGTAAAATTGTAATTCTTTCCAAACAATCAATTAAGCCCAGCATAGAGTTTCTTTTATATTTTGCGTAAATTTGACATAACAAATAAATAAAAGCCATCAAACATTTTATATGAAAAAGCCAACGTTATGATTTATTTCGGTAAATCAACTTGTATTTTAGAACAAAGATTTTGATGAATATCGACTGTCGAATAAACAAATTATATACATCGATAAATGTCATCGATAATTAACTATTATTATTATTCTGCAAACCATAGTAAAAATTTGAAAATTCAAGAAAATCACATTTCAAGAGAATCAAGTTTCTTTCACTCTACATTGGATTGGAGAGCAAATGAAAAAGAATTTTGAATTATTTTTGCAACATATAAACACGTAAAATATAAATATCTCGAACGTCGCGTAAAATCGTAATTCCTTTACGTTTCTGTGCGTCTAGATTAACGATCTCACCCAGTCTGTGCGAAATTCGCGTGAGTTCGTGCGAGCTCGCATCGCTCGCAAGATGAAGGGGAAAGAAGGAGAGAGAAGAGTCGAAGGACGAGCCAAAGGAGGCAGCCGCGGGTGGCGGTAGAAGGGAGAGCAACCTGACATTCGTAGGGTGGAGATGGTGATGGTGGTCGCATCGGAGGGGAAACCCGAGAGGGAGTCTGAGGGAAGGTTAGTCGTGGATGTAGGAGGAACAGGGAGACAGAAAGCGAGGGAGAAAGGGAGGAAGAGAGATGCATGGACGAGGAAACGGAAGTGGAGGTGGAGGAGGATAATATTGATCCCCTCGTAGCCCCGCCCCTCCTCGCCCAGCCGACGCCATCATTATATTATCCACCATCCCTCCGTCTCCGTTTCCCGACGTATGCGCACCTACGACCTCTCGAAACTCGCGAAACTGTCCTGGCGCGCATGTTATCTTATGTTCTCGAAGAGAGACCTTTCTAAAAAGGGGAAATATATGAAGACCATTCTTACGTACGTCCCCTGTGTTTCTCGTCCGATTCTCTTCGTCTCCGTCACTTTCTTAACTTTCGCTATCCTTTTGCTTTGCTACTCCTACGTTTTTTCATATCGAACAGAAAGCTAGCTCGAAGAAGAGCGTTGCTGTGGTCACGGAGGATTTCAGCAGGTTTCCCGAAAATCTTGCGAGGACCACAGCGCGTGGGCGAGAGAAAGAGAGAGAAAGAGAGACAGAGAGAAGCACCACTTCATTAAAAATAAATTCCGTAAAGGAGTCGGCGGATATCCGGGGGCTTCGCGAGGATTTGACGCCCGCAGACTCGGTTCTTCATTCTCTCTCGCCCTCTCCATCTCGCACCTTAGTTTCACACTCGTTATTCTTTTCTCCCTACATGCTCTCGCCTATCCATAATTTGGTGCACCTCTCTCGTTTGTCTCGTGAATGTTTCCTCAATGTTCTCCATTTCTTTCTTTTATTTTTATTGTACTGTGAGTTGGTTGTACGCTTCAACTTTTTTTTTGTGTTCCAATAGAATATTTTATTCCAGAGAAATTTTCGGATTTTTATTTTTGTTATTGTTCTTATAATAGACAATAATTGGATATCTTAATCTTATAGATAATCAGTTTTAATTATTGCTAAAAAATTTATAGAATATATTGGATGAAAAATATAATATATTGGAAAATCTAGAATATATTGGGAAAAATTGATTAATAAAAAATTCTTTTATAGTCATAAATCAATATAAAATTTAGAAATATATATTGTAAGATTTTTAATGTTGACGCATGTCAATATCATTATGTAAATCCTCCCTTTATCTTCTGTTTTTCAAAGTTTAATAATTCGTATATGTCATATCTCATGTCATCGACATAATATTGAATATGTA